CATGCTCATCCTCCTGAATTAGTGCAGGGCACAAGGAATTTAGCACGGTGCTAATTGTGATCAGATGAAAACAAGCATCCTCAGTATGTGGGCATGCAGCAAGACAAAACAGATGCCTAAGCTTTTCAGAGCAGTGCTCCACAATAAGAGCTGCCAGACAGCCCTATGCACAAAGACAGCTGGGGGTGGGTTTTCTGCATGTCAGACTCCAGTGGGCAGAGCAGACAGGGGAGAGAGACAGAAGCGTATCTGGGCAACCATGTACCTTTCTTCCCTCTCGCTCTTCCCTATTTCTCTAGTAGTCACAGGATGTCTGAAGTCCATTTTTCTCTCTGCGCTACAATATCCAGGTTTTTGTTTTATTTTCAATTACAAATTGTTAGACATTGCTGTATGCCTGAATTTAACTAAGACAGACCCTGTGCTGAAGTCAGAAGTCTTAGGGCACCAGAGAGGGAGAAACCCCTTCTCATGAAGAAAGATGCTCTTCAGCAGCTACAGTGGCAGTGAGGACTCAGAGCCAAGGCTCCCTACAGCAAGCCTGAGGGCAAGAGGCAGGCTCAAGCAATTCCTTACCTCCCAGGTTAAACAGTGATGGGAAAGAGGAGGATCAGCTGAACCTCCCCCCCCACACACACACACACACAATACTGACGCCTCATCCCTTCCCCCCACGCCACCCTTGCCAGCAAGATGCAGGGGCAGTCAGGTCTGCCTGTGGAAGGCTGCTGGAGACAAGTATATACCCCAGAAAGAGCCAGCACTACTACTCCTTCCCTCCCTCCCAGGAGCAGGGAGAGCAGAGGCCATTTCCCTATGCTCTTTGTCCTTTCCCTGAGTTGTGCTGCTGGCAGGGTTACTGCTCAGTCACCTGCGGTGGGAGGCAAGACGAATGTATGTTACCATTAGGGTGACCAGATGTCCCGATTTTATAGGGACAGTCCCAATATTTGGGGCTTTTTTTATATATAGGCTCCTATTATCCCCCACTCCCTGTCCCAATTTTCACACTTGCTATCCGGTCACCATAGTTGTCAAGCAAGGAATAGGTACAATGTAAAGGGGTATGCTGTGCCCCCAGCCCCGCCACCTCCCCCCACAGTGAATTTGAAAACAAGTCTATTTGAAAACAAGATGTCTGAATTAACAGAAAAATAAGATTGAGAGTGTTGGCCCCTTCAGGAGGTGGATGGAATGTTGGGGCTGGAAAGTTCCACGGCAGTTAGGAGTGACAGTTGGAGAGAGTGGGAAAGAGCAGAGTGTATTCAAGACTCTTGTGTCTCAACACCAGACCTGAGGAAAAGCAGGATTTACTCCCCATAATCCCCTGGAGACGGGGGAACGGGGTTTACCCCCGTAATCTCGCTGCCCTTCCCCCACCACAGATATGGGGGAAGGGGTTATAATACTTTATAATCTGTCAGAGATGTGGGGGTGATTCACCCCTCTTCCATTAGTCTGCCAGAGATGGGGGAAGTTGCCAGAACCAAGGCGGGATTGACCTCTCATAATCTGCCAGAAATATGAGGGAACAGCCCCCTCAGTAATCTGTCAGAAATGGGGATGATTTACTCCTCCCTTCAATCTAATCTGCCAGGGCGTGTGATGATTTATTCTTCTCTCAATAATCTGACAGGGAGAATATGATTATCCTCCCCCCACCCCAGTCTCCAATAATATTCTGGATCCTGAGGGGATTTATCCCCAAGTTATCTGCCAGACACAGAGGAATTAATCCTCTTCCCAGTAATATGCCCCCAAATGGACAGATTTAGTCTTCGCTCGCCCTAACTCCCTACAGAAAATCTGCCAGATATGGGGGGATTCAGTCTTTTCCCAGTTGATAGAGGTGTATTGATTTACCCCTCATACCACAGGGTCTGCTAGAGCTTGCAAGTTAACCCTCCTTTGTAGCATACTACAAAGGGGCAATTTCACACCATTTAAGATTGTGGAGGCATTTGGAGCTATTTATCCTCTCTCCTTGCAAAGGGATTTATCCCTGGAGAGGAGCATCTTGAGGCAAAGGGAACACGCAAGGGACAATGAAATTTCAGAGTAATGACTATGAGAAAGTACCAGAAAAGGCAACAATGGAGGATAACAAACACAGTGATTCAGTGTGTCCAGGACACAAAGCCCTTGGAAGAAGGTATTTCTTAAGGGAATATTCAGGGGTTAAAGTTAGAGAGTCAGAAAGTTGGAAAAATACATTTTTTTCTAAATGGGTTATTTAAAGATATTAATAAGAACTATTTAATATTAAATTCTATTGTGGCAGTGCTCAAGGATTCTGAACCAGAATTAGGGCCCCATGGTACTAGGTGCTGTACAAACAAGTAACAAAAAGAATCCCTGCCCCATAGAGCTAAGATTTAAACAGTGTGCAGCAGTGGTGAGGTAGTGAAAAGGCTGGAAGGACAAATAACTCTAGAGAGGTTCAGTAGCAAATTAAATTTGGAAAAGCGATTTAGGAGAGATCACAAGGGTAATGATTTTGTTACAGTGGGTGAAAGGAACTAAGGCCTGGTCTACACTGGGGGGGTGGGGGGAGCGGAATCGATCTAAGTTTTGCAACTTCAGCTATGTGAATAACGAAGCTGAAGTCGATGTACTTAGACCTACTCACCACGGTGTCTTCACTGTGGTGTGTTGACTGCTGCCGCTCCCCTATCGACTCTGCCTGTGCCTCTCGCGGTGGTGGAGTACAGGAGTCGACAGGAGAGCGCTCAGGGGTCGATTTATAGACTCAATAATTCGACCCCCGCTGGATCGATCACTGCCGGCCAATCCAGTGGGTAGTGTAGACCTACCCTAAGATTTCACCAACCATTTTGCAAGTACTAGCATATCCCTGCCCCATAACCCTGATAATCACTCTCAGGGCCAGCTTTAGGATTTTTGCCGCCCCAAGCAAAATCAATTTTGGCCGTCCCCTCCACCCCCCCTCCCCCATTTTTTTCTTACCCCACCCCCCAGCCCTGCCTCAACTCCGCCCCTTCCCCAAATCCCCAGCCCTGCCTCCTCCCCCCAGGCTCTGAAGCCTAGGAGGGAGGGGGAGCAGCGGCACGCGAATCAGCTGTTTTGCGCACCGCAGCCGCTCGGGATCTCCCCCTCCCTTCCAGGTTTGAGAGCCTGGGAGGGAGGGCGAGCAGCGGTGCGCGAGCGGCGGCAGCAGCAGAGGTGAGCTAGGGCGGCCGGGGCACATTTTTAGGGGTGGCAGGGGCGGCATTCTGGTGCCGGCCATGCCGCCCCTAAAAATGTGCCGCCCCAAGCACCAGCTTGTTTTGCTGGTGCCTAGAGCCGGCCCTGATCACTCTGCACCTATCATTTACAAGCTAGCTATGGTCCACAGAGAAACACACTATTCACTTCTCACTACCATATCTGTGCTCCATAACCTTGACCTGCAGACTGGCAATCTACCCCTCTTGCTGACTGCCCCACCAGAGCTCTGATACCCTGACCTATAGACTGGTGCTATTGTATTCCTACCCATGGTGCCCTATAAACCTGGCCTGCATATTAGCACAGTGTTACTTCCTACTTTTTCGTTTCTATTTGAATGTACATATCTAGGAAGTTACTGAGTCCTGGAAACTGAAGTTCTCTGTTTTCTGACTGAAGAGAAGTAGCATGGCATTGAAAGTGCCTGATTTCTCTTTGCACTGTCCTGACAATGTTCTTCATCATTTTACTGGGGGAAACACCAGTAATGCAATGAATCTGGTCTTGTTGGCCAGTTCATGTCTTGGACCATCTGTTGCGACAATGGTACTAGTCATGCCAGTCATTTTGTTGGGTTAATGATGCGGACACATGACTACCATCAGTTTTTTATCTGTGCACTAACAGTTTGAACTAGTGAGCTGTGAAATGAATTAATCATATTCTGTATTTTTTTTAATACTGGTGTTGAAAGAAGATAGTCTGGCAGAAATTCTGCCTCTATTTTCATTATTCCTGGTTGGGGCTGTTTGTGCAAGTTAATTTGTGCTTGTGTGTACCTGGTTGGGTGCCTCATCTCTGAGGCAAGGACTTAAGGATCGTGGTCTTTCCCGGTGTGGGATTTGTGGCATTTATCCACCATGTTGGCTAACCTTGTTTTTCCTGTTATAATTATCCTCACATTATTATTTAGAAACTCCATCGTGGATGTACATGGCATTTTGCAAGTATACGAAACACAACGTCACACAGAGATAAAACCAGTAAATACATCCTAACATAGGGAAGGGAGAGCAGGGGGGCTGACAAAATTGGTAGAAGGAAAAACATTCTTTCATGAGTAATATTTCTTTTGTTATGTTTCTGGATGGGGAAGGGGGGTTGTTTATCAAGTTAAGTCCTGCTCATGTGAGAGTGGCAGTGGGGAGAGCCAGAGCAGAGAGGGTCCCACCCCTTCTACTTCTTTTGAATGCAGCTGCATTGTCACATCACACCTCTCATTGAGTGATTCTTTGAGCCTCCTAAATTCTACATTAAATGGTGCTGGAGAATGATGCTCTTCACTCACACAGGCCAGATGTTGGGGAGACTAAGACTTGCCTTGAACCCCCATCATTCTTTTAACTCCACAATTCACTTGTTCTCCCAACTCGCATGTCTAGTGTCCCTTGTGGCAAACAAGAAACAGGACTCAGCTGTAATGGATATAAAGGGAAAAGTAAGACCATAGGACTGTTATCTGTGCTTAGTGCCAATTCAGATGGTTCTTATTGAGGTAACTGAGTAAAGAGAGACCCCCCAAGATTTTCTCTTGCTCTGAGACAAACTAAACATAGCCTGTATTGCCTTCCTAAGTCCTTGTCTAAAATACACAATCTTGGAAAGGACATTGCATAAAGAGGTCAGTTTTTAACTTTGATTTGTCAGAAAGTAAGAATTAGATAACTAGACTTATGGTCTGATTTTGAGAGTGGCACTGCCAGTGTGTTCTTTCCATGCATTATCCCAATTTCTTCAGATATCTCAGCACGCTTCTATTTTTAATTTTGCAGGTGCTGATCTGGAGAATCTATACCAACTCTCTCTTGGCTGGATAGGAACCAGAGTCCTTGCTCCCGTCTTTGGCAGTCCCTGATCTTACCACATTATTGTCACATTTGTTTGCTGAGGTAGGGAAATCTTCCTCTGTGACCTACATGCCTTAAGCCTTGTAAAAATGATTTTTATGTTGATAACCCTCCCAGGACATGTAATGTCAATAATACACAATCAGAGAAATGCACATATAGGTAGAACAGCCACGCTCATTTCAAGGAATTCTTTGTTGCATTTATACTGTATGCTGGTTAACAACATCAATGTTTGATTAATATTTTATCTCCTGATTATATCTCTTTACCATTTGCATAAGGTACCTCTGAGCACCTGCCACATCCTCATCTCAGTTGGATAGGAGTCTTTTAATTCTCCATGCTTTGACTGTGATAAAATGAGTGTAAATTTTTCTTGAATAAGATCTTCCTTGAGACGATGTTTCTTTTTCCTGGTGTCTTCCAGGTGAGATCTTGTCAGGGTCTAGCTGTGTAAAGTGGTGAGTAACTTTAAAGTCTCCACTATTTCCTTATTCACGTTAGCATTGTCTAGTAGTTCCTGGCCTTAGGCTACATCTACACTACAGGGGGGGGTCGATTTAAGATACGCAAATTAAGCTACGCGAATAGCGTAGCTGAATTCGACGTATCGCAGCCGACTTACCCCGCTGTAGGGACGGCGGCAAAATCGACCTCTGCGGCTTCCCGTCAACGGCGCTTACTCCCACCTCTGCTGGTGGAGTAAGAGCGTCGATTCGGGGATCGATTGTCGCGTCCCAATGGGACGCGATAAATCGATCCCCGAGAGGTCGATTTCTACCCGCCGATTCTGGCGGGTAGTGTAGACCCAGCCTTAGAGGATGGGCCAAATGATTGTTGCCTCTTTACTTTATTTGAAGTTGGAAAGCTGGACCTTCTCATTTCTGTCACAGTCTAAGTACTAACGGGGAGAGGTGAGAAAGGGAGAACAGGGCTTCCAGTCTGTTTAATTTTTGCATGTGGATTATTGGAATTAAATCATTTCTGAACAGGCCATTTAATACTTGGATATTCACAAAGGTTATGATAACTGAGACACTTGGCAGAAGGAAAGTATTCCCAAACATGAGAAAATATGACCCCTCTCTTTATTTGGGGTTTCACTGGTTGTGGGACCTCTCCACTTGCTCTCTTGAGGTCAGCTCTGAAATGGGGAGGGTTCCATCATCTGAATGTCTGAGTAGATACATCCTGGTATTATTTTACCTTGTCTTTAATGATAGCACTCTGACCATGCTGAGAGCACAAATTCTTTCTTTCTTAAAATTTAATTCTCACAAGTTTCATTGTGGGCTCCCTGGAACTAGAGAACTGCTAACTGAAGAGGTGATTCATAGAAATAAGAAAGCAGTAATCAGCAAGGTTTGTAATCAGCAAGTTTTTTATCTAGCTGAAGTAAAGCTTTATATCTATAAATCAGAACAAGTTACCATAAGCAAAAACAAGCATCACAAAAAAGATGCAGCCTGGTATACATTCCAATCTTCAGAATCAGGCTTGTCTTTTCACAGGCAGCTTCTCCCGTTTGGTTCCCCAATAGCCATTCTTTTCTCTAGTCTACCTAGGGTCTTACACTACACCTATTAACATGGGATATGATTACCTGTAAAATGTCTTCTCAGCACTTGTGCAAGGACAGAGGAAAGGGAAGTTGGAATTAACCCCTCACTTATTGGAGACCTGGTATTACACCCTATTACAGGGACTAAAATAGAAAAGGGCTTTATTAAAAGTTGTAGCCATCTATGAGAGGGAGAGTCCTGGCCAAGGCATGCTCATAGGTGGATTCTTATACTGGGACTGAGCTTTGTGGGTCCTAGGTAAGCAGCTGTCAGCAGGCTGCCAAGTGGAGGGTTGGAGCATGGCTGCTCCTGTGTACCCAGGTTTGAGGCCATAGGGTCATGACATCACCTCCCTCACCTTGGGGTGCCCTCTGGGCAACATGGGGCCAGGTTTCTCGGGATGGCTCCTATGGAAGGACCAAACCAGGACGGGACCATGAACATTCTCAGCTGGCTTCCTACTGTGTTATTTTGGGCCATAACCTTCCCTCTCAATCATGTACCACAATTTATCCCACTTGACCTTGGAATCAAGGACTTTGTTGACAATGTATTCCTCCTCACTTTGCACTTGCACTGGTGGGGGCAGTGATTGGGTTGTATGGAGTAATGTGCTCTCAGTGTAGGGTTTTAGGACTGAGACGTGGAACACAGGATGGACTCTAGGGGATCAAGGGAGCTGGGTTTCAAAGTTGACTAGGTTGATTTGTCACCAAATCTGGTATGGGCCAAGGACCAGTAGTCTAGTTTCTGAGTGGGTCTGTCTGTGCAGAAGTGTTCTGTAGAAAGCCATACCTTTTGTCCTACAGAGTAGGTAGGGGTCTTGTTGACTATGTTGATCTGCATGCTTTTTGTAATCCTCCTTTGCCTTCTCAAGGTGTCCCTTCACCTCCTCCTGGATGTGATGGATGTATTGTACTAGGGCCAATACCGATGGGTTCGTGGAGGATGTCAGTAGCTGTGGGTGAAATTGGGCGTGGTACCCATAATAGACAAAGAAGAGGCTGTGGCCTGTGGATGCATGGTCTGCATTATTGTACAAGAACCCAGCATGTGGTAATAGTGTAGACCAGTTGTCCTAGTGATAGTTGGTGTAGCATCATAAATACTGCTCTAGGATCTGGTTGATTTTTTCTGTTTGGCCATTTGACTGAGGATGGTAGGCAGAGGACAGGTGCTTGTAGATTTCTAATAGACGTAAGGCCCCCTGCCAGAAGCAGGCAGTGAACTGGGGCCCCCGTCAGAAGTGACGTGAGCTGGGAGGCAATGAAGATGGACTACATTGTTTATCCAGAGCCAGGTGGTTCCTCCTGCAGAGGAAGTGAAGTGGGCTATTTTTGAAAAGCGATCCACCACTATCAGGATTGTCCTGAAACCACTGGATTCTGGTAGTTTTACCATGAAGTCCAAGGACCAAGATAGGGTTTCCAGAGATTGGAGGAGACAGCAGGGCTTCTGGCGGGGGATCTTGGTGCGGCACACACCTGGCAGGAAGCAACAAAGGTCTCTGTTGTGGGGCACATGCAGAAGTATTGGGACATTAATTGTTGGGTTTTATATTGGCCCGTGTCCTGAAGAACCGCCACTCTCACATGTCCGGGGGGAACACAGAAATGGTCCCTTATGAATGTGAACCCCACCCAGCTGTTGTGTGGTTCTCAATCAATAATTGCCACCTCATCCGGTGGAATTCCAGAGACAGAGGCAGAGGGATGACCATCAGCAGGTATTGGAGGGGGGTTGCATTGCGAAAATAATGGGACTTGAGATTGTGGGTTGGTTCCAGACTGGGACCTCATGAGTCAGAGCCATAACTTCAGGACAAGGCATCAGTTTTGCCATTTCTAGTTCTAGGGCGGTAGGTCAAGGTAGTTGAACTGGGAGAAGAATCGGGCTTACCGGAGCTGTCCGTTGGTTTAGGGTTTTGGCCCTGCACAGGTACTGCAGGATCTTGTGATCAGTAAATACCTGGAGCAGATGATGGGCCCTTTCCAAGTCATGTGGCCACTCTTCAAAGGCAGTCTTAATTGCCAAGAGCTCTTTGTCCAAGACCTCATAGTTTCACTCAGCAGAGGCAAGTTTCCTCGAGTAGTAGGCAGTGGGGTGCAGTATTTGCTTGAGTCCATGCCTCTGGGAGAGGACCGCCCAACCACTCTTCTTGAGGCATCAGGTTCCACAATGAAAACTTGTGCCATGTCCAAGTGGGCCAATAGTGGAGCAGTGATGAAGGTGAGCATTATTTGTTCAAATGCATGCTGGGTCTCGGGCAACCACTGAAAGTGGTCATTCTTCCAGAGTAGGACAGTGAGGTGCTTGGCATGTTTTAGATGAACCTCTGATAAAAGTTTGCAAAGCCTACAAAATGTTGTAGGTTGCGCACATTGCGGGGAGTTGCCCAGTTGCAGACAGCTTGGACCTTGCACCGATTCATCTTGATTCCTTCCAGGGACAGGATGGAACCCAGGAACTCGGTTGAGGTCTGTTCAATCGTGTACTTTTCAAGTTTAGAGTAGAGACTGTATTGTTGTAGTCTCTCCAGGACTGTGTGGATGTGAGTGATGTGTGTTCGTCCAGATTGTCTGAGAAGATCAATATATTGTCTAACTCAGTGGTTCTCAAACTTTTTTTTTCGCGAACCACTTGAAAATTTACTGAGTGTTTTGGCAGACCACTTAATGATCTTTTCAAATGTTGTTTGTACTATTAGCTAACTATTGTAAAGTGATTTGGATAAAAGCGCAATATAAAAAACCCCTTAATAATAACGTTTTTTGTTCTACAAATAAAAGCACACGACTCATATTTTAATATCAGTAGTCTTACCTTTCTAATGCAATGGATGTGCTGGGGCTGGGAAGGAGGGGGATCTCTCCCTCTCTCCCCTGCCACGGCAGCCCCCGAGCTGGGACTGGGAAGGAGGGGGGTCTCTCCCTCTCTCCCCTACTGCAGCCCTGGAGCTGGAGAAAGTCACCTCTTTCTCTGGCCGCCACAGCCCTGCACGTCCCAAATTCCTCCCACCCCCTCTTCTCACCCCAGTGCCCCCTCCCACCAACCCCCTATTTCCCCCAAGGCCACCACCTCACCTTATATGTGCGTCTTCTCCAGGGTCCAGGCATCTAATTAGTGGAGCCATGACTACGCGGCTCTACTAGTTAGGTGGGTGGCCCTTCATTCTCTTGTGTGCGGCCGCCCAGGCACGCACCTTAGAGGGAACTATCCGTGGACCACCTGAATGGAACTCACAGGCCACTGGTGGTCCACGGACCACAGTTTGAAAACCTCTGGTCTAAGTATATCACTACAAACTGGTCCAGTAGGTCTCGTAGCTCATTGTTAATTAAGTGCTGGACTATTGCGAGGCATTGGCAATCCAAATGGCATGTCTAAATATTCAGAGTAGCCATACCGGGTCCAAAAGGCAGTCTTCCATTCTGTGACACTGACAGGCCATGTGCCAGTACATGCCAGATTCTCAGG